ACGTAAGTCATGGGCTGAAACAGCATCAGAAAGCTCTCTTGCCTTTCTTTGCTGTTTAACACAGAGCAGGTGGAAGCAGGCCGGACAGGGCAAGTGTCAGTATCTGCACAGTCACACTATGCAAAGACAGCTTGCCTTCTCCTCTGGATTTGTGAATTTTACCAATCCACATCAAAACAAGCTTAAGATCATAGAATAGATTAGGTTGGAAAAGACCTTTAAGATCATTGAGTCCAACCATTAACCTAACACTGCCAAGTCCACCAGTAAACCATGTCCCAAAGCACCACATTCACATGTCTTTTAAACACCTCTAGGGATGGTGACTATTTTGCTATCTGGATTAGGCTACAAAAAGTAAAAGGAAATCAGGAAATAACTCCCTTGGAGACCCTGTTTATAATGAGTTTCTGTATGGTTGTGACATCTGTGGGTTTTGCCCTATACTTTCAGCTAGGCTTTGTCATGACATGGTTATCACTGAAGCACCAGCTGAGGAGCAGCAGTCGCCAAAGGTGAAGTCTGATACACCCAGGAAAGAAAAAGCAAGTACAGCCATGTAGGAGGCTGGGTGAAAGGCAAGGAATATGACAAATCCCTCTCTGAAAAAGGACATGGTTTTATACTGAAGGATGAGATAACACGGGTGAAGAGGAAAACATGGGACTGATGTGTTGTTTGATTGAGGGTTTTGGAGACTATGGTCAAGCTTTGGAAATTAATTCCTGTTATAAAGCTGATCTGGAACATGTACGTGGTACAGCAATTCCTTTAGTTTTAGCAACTAACCTGATCCTTGCCAAAATTTCCTGGCAGCATGCTTTTTAGGGAAAAGAGTTGTCTAGAGATTCCAAGGGGAAGCGTGCAGCAATGAGCAAAGTGTTCAAAATCAGCAAAAACATCAACTGTGCTGCCTGCAAACAGAACATTTTTTCCTGTACAACCCTTTCACTAGAGCCCAAACAGTCAAGACTCCTTTTTCCCTTCCCCCCCCCCTTCTTTTCTTTCAGAGGCAGGGAGGTTCAGTAAAACTGCTAAAGCAGCCAAAATGAAGCAAAAAGGCACATCCAGCAGCTGAATACTCAGTCATCGCCCATGCTGGTTTGTCGTACAGCACCTAAAAGACCCAAGATCAGGTAATCCCTCAGTATTGGAAATCCTGCACTTGAGATCATCTGCACACAGTGACCATCTGCCTGTTTCCATGCTCCACAATTCCTGACACACAGCATACTATTCTTCCATCCACATAATGCAAAATATTTTTTCTATAGCTTTGCTGTGCTCAGAGCCTCTGGAGTCATCTAATTTCATGCTGGTCCTCCACAGGCAAGGAGAGACACAAGGATGGATGTCAGGAGATCTGGATTTGGTTTTCAGTCCACATCATACACTTAACCATGGGAAAATCCAGAACATCTGAGCCTTAACTGCATTTCTTGATTACCTTCTCTCCTGCATTTTGAAAAGTGGTCTTTCGGAACACATACACAATAAGACACCTGTCAGTCCTGGACAGAGGCCAACACTAAAAAACTTCAGCAAATAATCACAAACACATCATAACAGACCTGAATAAAAACTGTTAGTAAGCAAAATCCAGCAGCTGCTGCCATTCATGCAAGACCTCAATCTCCCCCTTGGGGACTGTGAGCTCTCTGGGGAGCCCAAAAGGAACTGTTAGGTTAAAACACAGAACCTGTTCAATCACCATCCAAACACTCTTCCCTGTGTGAGGAAATGGAACAGTAAAGCCCCTTCTTCCTTTTTTTTTTTATTTTATTCTATTCCAATAAAATTAAGTTACATACTGCACTTTCCCCCTCATATTACCAGCTACCAAGTTTGAACTGAGAACTAATTGTATATTTATATAGCTGTTAGACCTATATATAAATATATTTTTGTATTTATATTTATACATATACAAACCCCTGTATATAGTTTTATTATTTAGCAACACAGTACTATTTTTTTTTTTAAATAAGAGCTGGGTGGGGAATCTGAATGGGGCTGTTATCTAATTTTAAACACTGGCTGTCCACCTGTTTGGCATATCATGTTCTCCCTTTCCTCCACTCCACCCCTTAACAAAATAATACCTTGATTTTGCATTCTATTCCATTGGCCTCAAGGACTGGTGTATAATTACTGCAACTTTACTTTCTGTCTACAAATGTTGAGATCAGCCATTTTCAAAGACAAACTTCCCTCAAATTCTTACTTACACAGGGAAAAGGATCTTTTTTGTGGGATCCAAGTGGCCGCAAGACAGAATCACATTTCAGAAGGTATGTCTGGCAAAGACAGACTGGTTTTCTTTCCCATTTCAAATGCCACCCTCCTCTGCTTCTCCCCACAAAACTGGTGGTTCATACATCCAGGGTTTAATTCAACAGGACTAGCAAGAAGGTCTGTTTTCAGGTACACAATAGCACTGGTGGTCTGAGAAGGTCAAGGGGAACAAAAACTTTTCAAAAGCTACTCCAGTACATGCACACACTGGTTAAAATCAGATCATAGAACAACTGTGATGCTATACTTAAAAGGTGCTGCTAACTTAACTGTTCATTAACCAAAAGTTATTATTAACTTTTAGAAAGCTAATCTATTCCCAAGCATGTAATGCTGTTCCTCTCCACACCACCAATTCACTGCTCTACACTATTTACATATACTATCACAGCTATTCACCTTGAATGTCTTCAGACTGCCTCACCATATGTACCTACATACTCAACAATTCTTGGACCTGTAGCTAAGTCCTGCAGCTATGCTTGCAAGCTCAAGAATATGGCTTTTCTTCAATTTAAAGAACACACACCTTGTGTCTCTCTTCCCAGTCCCAGAAACCTTTTTCTAACACTTACAGTGGCAAAGCAAGATTTGAAAATATTAATCAGTTTTAAATATATGTTGGATGTTTGCCTGAATTTGCAAAATGCCTAGAAGAATAGGTCTCATGTTTGCATTATTCCCCTCAGCTCAGTGTGGTATATGACATGTTCTGCAATGCAGAATTAATGTGAATTTCAACACAGAAACCCTTTCCTGCCAAGGAACCATACAGCAGAGTGTGCCACAAGTGTATTTCTTTGTTATCTCAGCATGACCTGTGTGCTTGCCCTAGAAAGAAGTCTGAAACATTCTGCTTCCTTCTAACAAAACATGGTTTTAGCTTTCAAGAACTTTTATGATGCAGCCAGACATCTCAGACAGTCTAAAAGTGTGTGCCATACTGAGAGCATAAAGGCAGTTAAAGTAAAATAATTTCATTAAAATGGTAGGGGGCTATTGTTTGGGCTGTATTGTTGGTATGCAATTCAATGAAGCCTCTCTTTCAAGAAGTCCCTGGAAGAAACAGTGACCATGCAACAAGCTCCAGCGTGCAGCTGTACTCCCATGCTGTTGCTCAGTCTGTAAGCTCTTGCATACGTGCCTCTTCCTCTACATTCCCACCCACACAAATCCAAAACTGGGTCTGACCTTCCCCAGTCTGCTTTGTCCATGCATCCCCATATAGTCCAAACAAATTCCAGCCATCTATGTTGCTGACTGCTACAATTTGAGCCACGCAGTTCAAGGCAGCCACACATTCATGCCTGTTTCTCAGCCCGCTACAGTCTCTGGAGCTGCTCGCCCAGTTCTGAACAATTGCTTGAACTGTTTGGAAACTGCTGCAAATAAAGCTGCTGTGAAAGGTCTGCAATTAAGTCAAACCCTGCCATTAAGATCAGCATAGCCAGCCACTAAAGTTTGATGCACAGCGTGCCTTGAAGGAGTCCAGTTTAATTTACAGCCACATCCTGCATGTCTAGCTGTTAATTTGAAAAGTAAAAGCATGTTTCTAGCCTAAAGGCTACAGTGTCAGCTACTCCTGTCCTTGGATCCAGGTTAAGTGACACTCCTTGTACGTATAACACATTTCCACACACACACTACTTTGACGAAGTGAAACTGTGGGCACAGCAGAGAGATTAAGTAGATAGTGTGGTTGCATAAAAGCTACAAGATACCATTGGGTGTAGTAAGAAAGTATATCTAGTAGCTAATGTGGGGGTACAATGTTTAGAGTTCCACATTTCCAAATTCTGGTAGCACAGACATCTTCTCAGGCTAGGCTCCCGGCAGTACAACAGCATGTCAACATTGATGTTCAACCCCTTGTGCTCCTCCCTCAAGAAAGGCACCACTAGACTGGAACAGCTCTGGAAGTTTGCCTTCAAAATTCAGCATTTCTTACTTTCCTATCCTTTCAACTTCCCTTTTTCCCATACATCTTTATCAGTTTTGCTGACCTGCTTTGACCTGCCTGCTGCCATTTAAAGGGACTTGAAATATTCACTTAACCACTCCCCAAAAATATGGGTAGTTTTAAATCCGAGGTTTTGGGAAAGAGGAGATAAGAAGGGTTGCAATGGGCAGTGAATACTTCTCACAGCCTGTGGTGTTCAGCCACTATCAGCCCACAAGATTTGACCAAGATCCTGTCCACCCAAGGTGCTGTTCCAAACACAATGTGTCCTGAAGAACATAAATGTCCTCGTACCCCTTCTTGAAAGAGCAGCTTTAAAAAGATAAATCAGACTGAAATTGTCATTCTTGCAAGGAACTAGAACAATAAGGTGAAAGATACTGAATTAAATCTCTGAGTGTGTCAAACTCTCGAGTTGTGCATATCAAGCATGGTTCCCTCACTCACATACAAGATTTTGAGAACCCTCAGGATTGCTCAAATCAGCGAGAAGACCAAACAGCAGATCTCCACTGATGGACACATCAAGATGACCCATTACTCCTCAGAAAGCAGGTGATGCCCATTGTAATAATCCTATCTCCCTTGCAGTATCAGGTCAACTCCGCTTTGTGTCGCAGTGAAATTCAATTGCAGTGCATAATAAGGGCTGAATACAAAACCCCCGGGACACAAGCCAGACTTGTAGTATGGTATGAGAGCCATGCAGATTAGAAGGGAAGCCATACAAAACAGAAGGACTTACACCAGAGTTCATAGTAGTAGTTGCAACACTGGGATTGTCCACAACAGTGGCCCGTTTCACATATGTAACTTTGATTGTTGACACCCATGCAGGTTTCCTTGTCCTAAAATTAAACAGACACACTTTTAAGATGCTTTGTCAGTATCTTCTGTAAATGTAATCTGTCACTCAGTGATCTGCAAACATTTGAAAAGTCACAAGTTATGGTCTTGGGTAACACTACAGTACATAAACACGATAAAATACAGCTAAGTATCACCAAAAAAACCCCCAAAAGACTACTCAGAAGAAAACCCTGTATCTCCAAATGATGAGTCACATTGCTTTACATGTAGTCAGTGATGCTTTCTTACCATTCCTCTCCTTTTCCATTAAAAGTTACCACGATTTTTGGAGCCAGGCCTTCTTTTAAAGGAGAGATATAATTTTTTCTATATTTTACACACTATCGCTGTCTTACTGGGGCTGAATGCCCAGTGGAGAAAATGCATTAATAAACAGAACATTACAATTTGAGAAAAGACTGTTTGGATAGATTTAGATATAAATGATAATTACAGTATGTTCCTGTGAGATTCCAATCTAAAATTATTCCTTCATAATTAGCCATGTGCTTTGAATAAGATCATAATTCCTGTAAAAACTTCTTCCCGGAATAGCAAAAGTAGTCCAGGAGCAGAGCCAAATCAGCTGTACTGTATCACCCAGCAGGTCCTTAGGACACACAGGATGGAAAAGGATTATGGAGTGAGGTCTCAGTTCCTCACCTGGCGCACAGCTTAAAAAAAATCCATGTTTTCCTGCTAGTCTGAAAACATAGGTGGGAAAAAAGTACAACACACAGGAAAACAGAAGCAATTTATAGATTGTGGATTGTACATCCTCTAACAGGCTTTAGGGCAACGTGGAAATTAAAATACACTACAAAACTTCTTAAAAAACCCCAAAACACTGATGTTGCAAAAAAATCTGTGTCAAAGCCTAACATTTTCTGTTTCTTTCACTTAAAAATCATGACAGGACAAACAAAACATGTAGAGCTATATATTGAAAGACATGATGAAAGAGCTAATTTAACAAGTACCACCTTTAAAAATAACACACAACAACAAACAAACAAGCAAACCAACAACCAACCAATCAACAAAGCCCAATCACCTGGGAAGAGCATCAAACCCAACCAGCAGGCTAGAGGAATGTACATTGGTGGATCCCAACACCTGCTGCACTGCACTAGTGTTCCCCCAACTTGCAGCCATACACACTCCAACATTGCGCCTGTGGGTCCCCCGCATGAGCACCCATATTACAGCAGAAATATAACTACTAAAAGCAGAAGAACTTCCTACCACTTCAGATTCAACAGAAAAGATCCCACGCTGCATTTTTCTTGTAAGAAGTCGCACGAACTTTTGAAAGGGTTTTGATTGTTTATGACTCAACATACAAGATACCACTTCCCCTCCTTCCACAGGTTCCAAAAGACTCCAAAAAGCACCAATGGGCCCTTCCTTAAAATTCATTGGCAGAGGCAACCTGCTGAACTGCACTAGTGTTCCCCCAACTTGCAGCCATACACACTCCAACATTGCGCCTGTGGGTCCCCCGCATGAGCACCCATATTACAGCAGAAATATAACTACTAAAAGCAGAAGAACTTCCTACCACTTCAGATTCAACAGAAAAGATCCCACGCTGCATTTTTCTTGTAAGAAGTCGCACGAACTTTTGAAAGGGTTTTGATTGTTTATGACTCAACATACAAGATACCACTTCCCCTCCTTCCACAGGTTCCAAAAGACTCCAAAAAGCACCAATGGGCCCTTCCTTAAAATTCATTGGCAGAGGCAACAAGCTGGAAGGGTACCTGCCTCCTGTTTCTAGGAAGAGAAAAACATTTTGCTGGACAGACCAGTCAAACTGCTTTACTGCAGGTAGTTAAAGCAAATATTTTATATTGTTTTCTTGAGAAGCTGCATGCCAATAGTAGACACATTTTCCTACAGGGCACACAGTTGTTTTCCATCTCTAATTGCAGCAGCTAATAGCAACTTTCAGGAGATGCTGTTGAGCTAGCACAGCATTTTCTGTTTCAGGCATGCTATTCATTCCAAAAATTGTAATTTTAGTCAGCAAAATAACTAGAAACAGGACACACCTCTTATCTGTTTTTACTAACTTATTTACACTTTTCTTCATTTTTGTTGGCCTTGCAGAGTTAATGCAACTGACCAACAGCATAGATTTTGGCTCTCACATCAACAGAATTGAGAAATTAAGATCTCATTGCAAAATTGTAATCCTTTTGATAACCCACAAGCCAGAAAGTGGCCAGCTGAGGTCTGTGGTTGTGACACGCGAAGATCAATGTGACCTGTTGAACCAGCAAATGAATCACATGGAACCGCTAAAAGCACAGAGTCCCACAGTCCTGTTTCAGGAACTCCTCTGCATCACAATGCTGATCTGTTCTTGACCACCCGGGGTTACTCCCCAAAAATTTGGTCAACTTGGTGTGGTCTGCTTCAAAGAGCAGCAATAAGGAACATATTGGTGTCTTTTGGCAACAGCAACCTAAAAGATCTTCAACATCACTATTTTCTTCCCGCTTCAGAACCTGCAGCAGTCCTGTTTTCAGAGACTTTCATCACAGTATCTTTTTATTCTAACTGCCTGTCTCTTGCCAACCTTAATATATTTGAAACAACCTTTCCACAAAGCCATATTGCTTCCTTTTAGCCCAGCTGTCAAATGGCTTTCTGAGGGGATGGGTATACACGTTGAACAGAAGATCCTCAGCAGCTAAGCTGGTATCCTGCAGGTTGTTCCTGCTGCTTTTGAAGATCGAGTCTCAAGCAATATCCTGCTTTCCCATCTTACAGTCCAGAGCTTCTTTACACAATGGACAAGAGAAATCATCTTCCTTGGTAATGCATAAGTGCTTGTGCCTTTGAATAGTCTTGCAGTAAGCTTTGAGCTCCCACAGTCCAGGAAGCCCAGGGTTTTAAAGTCCTTGCAGTGCTCGCCAGCAGCCATGCTCCTTTAAATCCACACACCTCCCCTTCAGAGACATTCTGCAGCCTTCTGCCAGCCCAGCCACCAACAGGTTTCTGGGAACATGCAACCATCAAGACTCAGTGCCACGATTAAGATCCAGAACTGTCATCCCTGTTTCCAAAGAGTTTCACCAAATCAAGGAATAATTTATTTTGGAAAGGATCCCAGCAGGCCACATGGCTTGACCCCTGCTCAGAGCACTGCTACTTCCATATCTAGGTCACTGAAACTTGCACAGAGAAAACGTAAAGGCACCAAATCTTTGGAAAAAGTCTATTAGGCAAAGATTCCAGAAGAAGGAGAGAATTGTTTTGGGACACGTTACAGGTGTCTCCCTTGAATCGAGTGTTTCAGTCTCCTTTCCTCTCCCCACTTCAATCAAGACTCACTTCTGTGAAAAGCAGAGCCACTGTACAGTATCCTCCACTACTCTTCAAGCCAAGGAAGAGTTTATGCACTGCCATCAGTACAGGCCATGACAGAGACCATGACATTTTTTGTTAGGAATATTCTGCCTACCCTCAAGTGCTTCAATCAGGCTTCAATTTCTAATTAAATCTCAGACTGCACTTGTTATACTATCAGCATTCTATTATTTCTACTTCCTTCTCCCATTCATTCTTTGTGTCATAGGCTGCCAAATGGTAACTACTTAAGACACGTCAGGGACACAGTTACCTGCAGCCTAAATGTCTCCTGGAAACAGTATGACAAGTGCTTGTGCTGTGAGAGCACACTATTTCCTCCTTCACACCAAATGGCATGGACAAGGAACAGGACTGAAAGAGCAGTTTTACATGTAAGAAAAGTATATATGGGAAAAACACATTCTCACAGAAGCAAAGTTGGAGCACTCACATTGCATTGAGCTGCCCTTGTTCCTAGTTTCCTAATTTTGAAATCACTCCTAGCAGCAGAGAGTTTTCATCGAACTGCTACAAAGATACAAAGAGGATTTTTTAGGTAGCCTTATTAAAACGAGGGAGGAAGAGGGTTTCTTTCTTAAAGCACCTCCTTGCCGAATAACCATTCCAACACAGGCTTCGCTGCTGAAGGAATCATGTTTTCTTGTTGTCCAGGCAAGCACATCCCTCCCTGCCAGCCTTTGTGCAACTAACTGTATACACTTTCTAGACAGGATTACTACACAGCATTTTCATGGGTCTGCTCTTAAAAGTGCATTCAACTCCATTAGAGCAGAATATTCCTGTTTCACAACAAGCCTGAACATGCCATCTGTTATCTCCCACCTACAAAGCCTAGGAGATTTCCAGCTAATTTCAAGGGATTTGCTTTGTCCTGTAAAGCAACACGAGGCTGCATGCGCATCATCGCCTCCTGGGCATCATCATCCTAAGAGTTGATGCAGATACAAGATATTGGACTCACTGGATTCCTGATGAATACTCCGAATCAAGAGCTTTCAGGAGAAGACTGCAGTCCTGGAATCTGTTTTCTTT